AACACTCCGCGCAGGCGCGCGCGTTCCAAATTCAAATGTGCGTAGCTTTTTTACACCGAAAGTGACATAGATAAATTGGTGTTTTTTTTTTTCTTATTTATTGTGTTCTTTTTTTAATTTTTGTTTAAAGGCGATTGATTTCTACGGCCAAAGGTTTGTTTTTTGCAAGGTTAAGTAATGTATTGTGCAAATAACTTCAATGTTACTTAGTTTGTTTTGTATGCAACAAATGAATTAATAACCTTCTAAGTTATAGCAATAATTACTTATTAGAACCTTGTGTATAACTAAAAACTGTTTGTATTTGAAAATATTGAAACATAAAAAACACATATTAAAGTGAAGGGAACCATTTTTCTTATTATTTTTTTATCTACTATTTCGTATAATTTACGTTTGCCTTTTTGCGATACATTTGCGGGTCAATGAATAAACCTTAACTGGAACGTTCATAGAACCTTGTGTATAATTATCTATTGCATACGTTTTAGTACAGTAAATACTAAAAGGTATTTGAATTACACAACAAAAGTTATTTTTCATTAACAAATTTGTATTATTTATCCATATAACTAATTGCAGTAAAATGTTATTATAATGAAACTCTCCTTCGAGTATAATTCCCTTACAAAAGACATAAACGCATTGACTTAAATGTTTGACTAAAGATACTGACCGAAGATACACGGTGAAACGTCACAACTACATTAGTTCGTTGCTTGTTTTCCTCGTAATACTATGTACTGAAGAATGTTCGCCGTGTAATATTACAAAGCGTAACTTTGGTTAGTATACACCTTTAGAGCGGGTACACATTTTATTAAACTTTAACACACTGTCGTGCGATTGTCGATTGTCGATTGTTACGCAGCGTCTTCAACTGTTTAGTCGCACATTTAAAAATCGAGTGTGCGATAGTATAGTTTCAGCCTTGCTACAGATCTTAAGACAAAGAGGAAAAGACTGGTATTTTTATTTCCTATACATTATTTAGCGTATTTTCCACTTTGAATTAATAATTGCTTTTGCATCAGTATCTTGTCACGTTGTAATCAATCAAGGATACAAGACGAGGAAAACTAAGATGTGTATTTAAAACAAATATAAGTTCAGAACAATAGTTTATATTTATTTATATTGTTTAATGGAAATACTACGGAAAAATTATTGTTTACATTATTTTATTTTCCGAATATCTATTGTTTATTAGTACTATAATAATGATCACTAACATAACAACTACGAACTTTTTTATACCATTTATGAATTGAAAATCTTGGCATATGAATAGGTAATGAAAATGTGTCAACCTTACTGTCACTCCCTAATTTAAGTCCCTTTCTCTTTACCACGCTTTTCTTATAAGGAGAGGATGGGAAGGGGAATTAGATTTGACAGTGGAGGAGATGCATAGGAAGGGGCAATATCGGATAAGGATAGGCGACGCATCTGCGATTGCGGATGATGCATAGTTGTACGTATTGAGGTAATTCAAAAAGTACTGGCCCTATTTCAAATATTATTTTACCATTAAAAAGCTACGTTATCGCTGAGTAACATAGGCTTTTTATTTCATGTGGACAAAGTCA